CCTCCTGTCCTCTCTCTGTCTGTGTCTCTTTACCTCTTTTCTCTTTCCTTCCCCCTCCCGTTCCTTTCTAATAAAACTTCTCATTTAAGCTCTGTCTGCCTGGCGTGTTTGTCCCTCTGCCTCAGTCACCCTTGCCCGCCATGGAATCCACCCAGGTTCCTCTCATGCTTTATCATAACCCTTCCTTCCTTCTTTCCTTCCTTCCTTCCTTCCTTCCTTCCTTCCTTCCTTCCTTCCTTCCTTCCTTCCTTCCTCCTTCCTTCCTTCTTTCCTTGCTTTCTTTTATTTTTTGAGAGAGGGATTCCCTGTGTGGCTTTGTAGACCAGACCGGCCTCAAACTCACAGAGATCCACCCGGCTCTGCTGGGATTAAAGGCATGAGATACCACTGCCTGGCTTCTTTCTTTAGGACAAGACTGAAGTTTACTACGATGCAAATGAAATTTTCAACTCCTGGTCCTCCTGCCTCAGGCTCCAGAGTGCTGGGTATATAATCAGTTCTTTGTGGTTTTGTTCAAAGTTAAATGGTTATTTTTTAAATTTATTTATATTTGTATGGATGTTTGGCTTGCAGTATTCCATGTGTCCTTGGAAGTCCTTGGAAGTCAGAAGAGGGTTTCAGATCCCCTGGAACCGGAGATAGAGATCGTTGCGAGCCATCATGTGGGTGTTGGGAATCACACCTGGATACTCTGGATGTATTTGTATTTTTAACTACCAAGACATCTTTCCAGTCCCTGATTGTTGTTTTTGTTCATCTGTTTTTTGAGACATGGTCTTCAAGTAGTGTTGCTGGATTTTCTCTTGTCCTGCCAGGTCCCACTGCCGCTTCAGCCCCAAATAAACACACGGACACTATATTAATTATTAAACTGTTGGACAATGGCTAGGGCTTTTTGGGGGGGTCTGAGGCAGGATTTCTCTGTGGCTTTGAAGGCTGTCCTGGAACTAGCTCTTGTAGACCAGGCTGGTCTCAAACTCACAGAGATCTGCCTGCCTCTGCCTCCTGAGTGCTGGGATTAAAGGCTTTGGCTAGGGCTTTTTTTTTCTTTCTTTCGAGATAGGGTTTCTCTGTATTGTTTTGGAGCCTGTCCTGGCTGGCTAGGGCTTTTTATTGGCTAGCTTTGTCTTAATTATTAACCCATTTCTATAGATCTGTGTATTTCCATGTGGTCTTGGCTTACTGGAGAATACAGGGACCTATTGCTTCTTTGCCGACTGCATGGCAACTCTCTTTCTGGCAGTCTCCCTCTGCCTACCTTTCCCAGAATTCTCCTTTCCTTGCCCCGCCTATCTTCCTGCCTCTATTCACTAAACAGTGTTTTATTCATCAACCAATAAGAGAAACATATATAAAGACATTCCCCATCATCTTCTCTTTTCTAAATAAAAAGAAAGGTTTTAACTTTAACATAGTAACGTTATATGTAACAAAACAGTTATCAAGCAAGAACTATAGTTAACAATATTTAGCCCAATAACATTTGGCAAAATTTAAAGAAAGTATTCTCTCATCTGTCTTTGTGATTCTAAAGTTTTGTGGGTTTTTTTTTGTTTTTGTTTTTTTTGAGATAGGGTTTCTCTGTATTGTCTTGGAGGCTGTCCTGGAACTAGCTGTGTAGTCCAGGCTGGTCTCGAACTCACAGAGATCCCGCCTGCCTCTGCTTCCCGAGTGCTGGGATTAAAGGCGTGCGCCACCAACGCCCGGCGAGTCTAAAGTTTTAAGTGTAACTTATCTTTTATCATAACTTAGGAAAACCATACCCGTAACTATCTGTCTTCAACTCCATCAAAGACCACAGAAGGATAATATATATAAACTCTAGAATTGACAGGAACTTCAGGCTGCCTGGACAGTCACCCAATGTTCCTCTGTAATGCTGGGGCATCCATCTTCAGCCCGTAGGCCATGGTGTATCTGGCAGACTTCTCAGTGAAGGGGGAAATTTTAAACTGTCCACCGGTATTGGTAGTTTGTCAGTCAGAGTAGACCAGGACTTCACAGAGATCCACCTGCCTCTGCCTCCAGAATGCTAAAATGAAAGGCTGGGGCAGCTGGGCATGATGGCATAGGCTACATAATCCCAGCACTCATGGAGGCTAAACCAAGAGGATCCCAAGTTCAAAGCCTGCCTTGGCAAGCTCAAGTCTCTGCAAAGCAATGGGTGGGGGTGGGATTACTGGGAATATAAACTCAGTGGCAGAGTGCTTGTTTTGCCCATGTGTAGTTTAGAGTCACCCAAAGGTCCAGGAGCCAAACAAGTTATACAGGCCTACAATCCCAGCATTTGAGGTGGAGGGAGAAGTGCTGTGAATTTGAAATTAGCCTGGACTATATAGTGAATTCCAGGGCAGCCTAGGCTATATTCACTAAGCAGAGGCCATGTAATCCAAGACACTGTTTTGGCTATGAGGAAAGATAGGGTCTCCTAGGCCAAGTGAGGAAATGAACATGAATGTCTGCCCTCATGGCAGAAGGCAGCTGGAGGAAGAGTCTCTAGGTATCATGTCAGAAGGAGGCAGGGGAGGCTGGGTGCCTTGAGATCAAATCCAGGCCCTGGTCCTGGGTGTCTCGGCAGAATCAGTATATTCAGCTACTCATTTTTCCATCCTCTTGCAATCTCCCCAAATTTAGCTCTAGGTCTACATGGCTGGTATAATAAACAATCCTCTGAAATAGGGGACAGAAACGCAGATGTTTGGGTCCTACCCCAGACCAACTCATAATCTGGTGTTGGAATTCTTTTTATCAGACAGGGTCTCAGGCCAGGTGTTGGTGGCGCTTGCCTTTAATCCCAGCACTCGGGAGGCAGAGGCAGGTGGATCTCTGTAAGTTCGAGACCAGCCTGGTCTACAGAGCGAGTTCCAGGACAGCCTCCAAGAGACAGAGAAACCCTGTCTCGAAAAACAAAAAAACAAACAAAAAACAAAAAAAAAGACAGGGTCTCTTGTAGCTCAGATTAGCCATAACTATGTAGTCAAAAATGACCTTGAACTCCTGGTCCTCTTGCCTCTAAATTACAAGTGTTGTGCTTGAAAAAAAGTTTTTTATTTCAATTTGGGCATCTCTCTGTCCCCATGGTATAGACAGGAGTATATCCAAAATATGTCACCTGGGTGAACAGCATGCAACATATTCACCCAAGAAATTATTTCTGCAGCTTGAGTTCCAACTGGAAAGAGTAAAGGAGGTGAGGTGACTGCAATGATCACAGCTTACTACGTTCTGACACTCAGGAGCAGTTAAGTGGAAAAGTGAGGTTTAATCCAAGTTACACTTTAAAGTTCTTCATTATTAGGGGTCTGCGTAATTTGTAGTTTCCATTATTCCTTTTATGATCCTAAAAATAAAAAATAAAAATCTGTGTAAGTGTGAGATCAGCCAGGTTTACATAGTACGTTCCAGGCCAGTCAAGGCTATACAGTGAGACTGTTTAAAAATAACAAAAGTAAGGCTGGGCGTTGGTGGCGCACGCCTTTAATCCCAGCACTCGGGAGGCAGAGGCAGGAGGATCTCTGAGTTCCAGGCCAGCCTGGTCTACAGAATGAGTTTCAGGACAACCTCCAAAGCAATACAGACAAATTCTGTCTTGAAAAGAACAAAACAAAACAAAGTAACAACAAAACAACCAGAAAGCAAGGCTCTAAAAATTGAAACCCAAATTTTTAGTTGGGTTATCTGTATGCTTCGAGAATTCCTTCCTGGGGAGACAAACATCCATCCTATACTCATAAGGTCTTTTTTTTTTTTTTTTGGTTTTTACGAGACAGGGTTTCTCTGTATTGTTTTGGAGGCTATCGGTCCAGCCTGGATACTCATAAGGTCTTAATGACAAACCAAAGTCCACCCAAGTTCACTCTGGGGAACCAGTGAGCTTATTGGGCTTACTTACAGGACACAGGGTTACTGGCAGAAGTGGGGACAACCACAGAACAGACTGAAAGTTCTCCACCCAGCTAAGCGTCCTGTATACAAGTTCCAGAGATTTCCCAGGCCACTGGCAATTAGAGCAAAATTGTATACTGATGCCGGGATGGCGTGGCTGGAATCTCATTGGCCCCTTCCCACCTGCTCCTCAGAGAGACTGTAAAGGGGCCTCTTGCTGGCTGATGATCTGAGGGAAATGGTGGCCACTGCTCATAGGACAGAATTCTACACTATACATACCACAATGGGTACCAAACTGTGAAAGTAGGTTATAGAGATGGAGATGGCTGTCAGTAAAGTGTCTGTCTGGCAAACCCAAGTTTAATCTCCAGGACCCATGTAATCAGGTGTAGGGATGGGTGTCAGATGCAGGAGGATCCAAGGCAGTCTGACAAATTGGCAAGCTCCCTGTTCAGTGTAAGACCTTGTATGGAAAACGTGGAGAGTGGTAAGAGGGCACCCAATGGCAACTTCCACCGGCACACTCATGAGTAGCTACACTGCCACCCATAAAAAGGGTTAAAAAAGGACTGGAGAGGTGGCTCAGTGGTTAAGAGCTGCTCCTCCAGAGGTCCTGAGTTCAGTTTCCAGCAACCACATGATGGCTCACAACCATCTGTAATGAGATCTGGTGCCCTCTTCTGGCCTGCAGGCAAACATGAAGGCAAAACAGTGTATGCATAATAAATCTTTAAAAGAAAAATGAGACAGGCAGTGGTGTTGCACACCTTTAGTCCCAGCACTCGGGGGACAGAAACAGGCAGATCTCTGCGTTCAAGGCCAGCCTCGTCTACAGAGCTAGCTCCAGGACAGTAGTAAGGGCTGTTACATAAGAAAAATCTTGTCTCAAAAAGAAAATTTTTTTCTGAAGAAGCAGAAATGTAAATGGGGCAGTGGATGGTGACACATATATTTAATCCCAGCACTTGGGAGGTAGAGGATGGCAGATTTCTGTGAGTTCAAGGTTAGCTAGTCTATGAAGTAAGTTCCAGGACAGTCAGGTCTATACATAGAAACAACAAAAAAGCAGAATTTAATCTTGAAAATGATACTAAAAAAATCAGAAACATCAATTAACATAAATATTTTTATTAAAATTAATTTTGAAAACAAAATGACAGCATTGTTTCACATTTGTGCAGCCTTTTTCTGACAAGAGAAGGCAGCTGGAGTCTGAGATCTGCTTTGAAGTAAATGAAGAATGCTTTCACCGGGAACTGCACGGAAGGAAGGATTTCAGAACCCCTGTAGAACCACAGCAACAAAACCGTTTCTCAGTAGAGACTACAGCCCCTGACAGCATCAGAATGACAACTACTTCCATGGCCAGTGTGTTTAAAGGAAACTTAACACAATTTGAACATTACTTATTTAGGCCATCAATTAAACCCAGGGCCTTGGCCACACATACTGTTGAGCAATACCCCCCACCTCCCAAGCCCACAAACTGGAATTTGTTTTGGAAACAAAGTCTCCTGGACTCCAGGGATCCTTTTTCTTGGCTCCCAAGTACCTGGGATTACAGGCATATACTCAAACTGTCAAAACATCAGTTTTTAACTTGAGTTTAAAATTCACAATATTACCAGCCAAGATTACATAGTAGGATTTTTTTAAGTTTTGTTCCAAAATAGAGAATGCAACATGCTGTACATAACCAGCACTGACCCTGTAGTGTTTCAGTTTACCAAGCCCATTTGCTCATTCTTAGGCTCCCTCATGAGACGAAGGCCCAGAGCAGACCTGGTTGGTCCAAGACCACCACTGAGGCTGTGGGCTGAGTCCCATGTCCTTCTTCATTCAGCTGCCTGGTGCTATCTCAGAAGGAAGACAGAGCCCTCGGTGTTTCCGGGTGCGAGTGACCCCCAATTCCAGCCTTTACAGGTTCCTGTGACCTTGTGATGATGCACCCGCAGGACACCTCCGTTCTGGTGATGACTGCACTTTTTGGGGTTGTTTCTGGCATTGAAGAGGCCCCTTCTCAGGTCACTCCACACATATGAGACAGTAACCATTCTTGAACTTAACGGCTTTATTTGACACAAAATACAATATGGCTGTGGGAACAGCAAACTCCAAAAGCAAAGGAAAGAAAAAAAACACGGTTCTATCTAATTTATAATTAACGGGAAGGTAAGTCACTATATCAGTAACAAATGGGTGAGCTTTAGGGAGAGTCATTTCTAGTGCCCATACCTGAAAGACAAAACAAAGGACCTCATGAGAATGATGGAGAATAAAACCCTAAAAAACCTTTTTTGTTTGTTTCTTTTTCCAGACAGGGTTTCTCTGTGTAGCTCTGGCTGTTCTGGAACTCACTCTGTAGACCAGGCTGGCCTCAAACTTGAGTTCTGGGACCAAGGGCATTCCCTCCCATGCCTGACTTAGGGTTGCTTAATAAAAACTGTGATCGATGAGCTGTAAGTTTGGTATCAGCATCAGCTGAGCTAGGCCACTCAGCTTAACTAACTTGGCACCTGAGGCGGGAGGGTCCTAATGAATTTGAGGCCAGTCTGAATTACAGAATGAGATGCTGTCTCAAATACAAACAACACCGAATAACAAGAGTGGTTTTGGGGGTATATCTATGACCCCTGCTCTGGGTAGGTAGAGGCAGGAGGAATTCTAAAAGTCCCAGGCCAGTGAGGGCTACACTAAGAGACCCCAAACATCACCAGACTATCCCTCCACTCCCAAAGAAAGGTAACAACAGGTGGACGATGAACGTTTGCACAATGGAAGTATCAGGGTTGGGTTACGGAGATTTTTTTTTTTTGGTTTTTCGAGACAGGGCTTCTCTGTGGCTTTGGAGGCTGTCCTGGAACTCGCTTTGTAGACCAGGCTGGTCTCGAACTCACAGAGATCCGCCTGCCTCTGCCTCCCGAGTGCTGGGATTAAAGGTGTGTGCCACCAACGCCCGGCCGGGTTATGGAGATTTACTGACTCATTTCGGTGATACTAGGGACTGAATCCAGGCCCCTGCACAGGCTAGGCAAGTATTCAACCACGGAGTTTTGGCCCCTAGCCCTGGGAATACTTGACCATCGTTTTTTTTTTTTTTCCGAACACTTAATTCACTCTATTTTTCTTGTATAAAAACCCCTATATGGAGGCCACAGCTGGAGCCTGGGTCCTCCTAGCAGAGACTCTGGCGTGGGCTTTCACAAGATGGTCAGTGAATTCCTGATGAGACTTGGTGAACATAGTCTCTTTCCAGAGGTTAGGGGTCAAGTAGCTGTAGGTCTTGGAAATGGCATTAAAGGTGGCCTTGGCAAAGTTACCTAGGGTGGCAATGCAGCCCCTGGCTGATGTGTAGCAGTCATCAATACCAGCCATCATCAGTAGCTTCTTGGGCACAGGAGCAGAGACGATGCCAGTGCCCCTGGGGGCAGGGATGAGACGCACCAACACAGAGCCACAGCGGCCCGTCACTTTGCATGGGACAGTGTGGGGCTTGCCAATCTTGTTCCCCCAGTAGCCTCTCTGCACAGGGACAATGGAAAGCTTGGCCAAGATAATGGCCCCTTGGATGGCAGTGGCTACCTCCTTGGAGCACTTAACACCAAGACCAACATGACTGTTGTAGTCCCCAATAGCAACAAGTCTTGAATCTTTGACCATCATTTTTGACTCCCCTATTTTTCGCTTTGATAGACATAGCTGATTGAAAAAACTCCTATAAAATGCTGGCTAATCCCTGTTTATTTTCTCAAAGCCTGGTTTAAAAATAAGGTGAGGTAGTACATGCCTTTAATCCTTCCACTCAGGAGACAGAGGCAGGTGGATCTCCTAGTTTGAGGCCAGCCTGATCTACATGGTCTACAGAGTGAGTTCCAGGACAGCGAGCCAGTCAAAGCTACTTAGAGAGACTTTGTCTCAAAAACAAAACAAAAACCATGCTCTACCACTCCAGCTGCTTTCAGCTTGAGCCCAGTAAAATGACATTAACTAGAAGACCCAGTCTTAGGACCCCAAACAAGTGAAACACCTACTTTTGGAATTCCCACTCTCTGTTGTCCAAGGGACACACCTGCCTTGTTTTGAGCCATCGGGAGATGCAGTGGAAATGAAAAGCATGCTGAAAGAGAAGACAAATTGTCACACGTCACTGCAGCCACGACCAATCATGGGATGCTAGGAGGGGACAGACAACAGGGGCAGCCTCGAATGAGGGCAACATCCCACAGAACATCTTGGAACCCTTCTTATGGATAAGGATATTTCTAACAAAACACATGACACGCCCCTACTGCTGAAGAAATGAATCATCAGGGAACACAGGAATAAGTTCTGACAGTGAGGTCCTGTCTCTTTAAGGGCATGTGCTTCCTGTTGCCATTTAGCTGTTGACAGGATACTTGTACATCTCTGAGAAAGGAGGTCCTGACCACAGACCTCAAATGTGAGAAAAGACAACTCTTCTTTCAGAGCAACAATTTTCTAGAAGATTCTATTCATTCAGACTCTTAACATGATTCATCATGAAAAACCAACCAAACAGAAAACTCAAAATCCAATCCAACCAGCACTCTACATACTTATTACCCCAGCACTTGTAAGGTGGAGTATGGGGAACCAAGAGTTCAAGGTCACATTCAGTTAAACACCCACTTCAGGACCAGCCTGAGCTGCAGGAGACCCTATCTAAAACAAATAAGGCAACAAAACAAAAAGCCCCCTCAGAATTTCCAAGAGACAGGACCTGAGACACTTCCGGAAACATCTAGGTATTGGGGACAGTTTATCCAAAGTTAGGTAATAGCTACCACGTTCCTGCTAAGTACCCTACAAAATGGGGCTTAACCCCCAGACCAGCAAGAATGCAAAGGCAAGCTGGCTATGAATGAAGTCTCAATGCAAATGGACTCCATCTTTCTTCCTCTTAATTTAAAATGCAGTAAAGAGTGTATTTAGCAGAAGGCATACTTTACCAAGCGCACATTGACAGCCCAGGTTTATAGAAGTTGACATCTGTTACCTCATTCAAGCCCACTGTAACCCTGGCAAGCAGGCATGACAGATATTACTATCTGTACTTTACAGACAGGAAACTGGACACCAAACAAATGACTTGTCTAATTCACAGAGCTGGTTCATATAAGACTCAGTGGCAGACCATGACCTGGCTCTCCTATATGGCAAGTTAGCTGAATAAATACATCTTGATCTAAATTTTTGTTAAAGAAACTTTCCTTTGTTTTTTTTTCAAGACAGGGTTTCTCTGTGTAGCCATGGTTAAAGTTGAAGATCCTCAAATTTGGGGATCCACCTGTCTTTGTCTCCTGAGTGATGGCACAGACCACCATACCTGGCTCAAAAATTCTTTTTTTTTTTTTTTTTTTTTGGTTTTTCGAGACAGGGTTTCTCTGTGGCTTTGGAGGCTGTCCTGGAACTCACTTTATAGACCAGGCTGGCCTCGAACTCACAGAGATCCGCCTGCCTCTGCCTCCCGAGTGCTGGGATTATAGGCGTGCACCACCAACGCCCGGCTTCAAAAATTCTTAAATTTAGATAAAAAGCCCAGTGTGGTGGCACATGCCTTGAATCCCAGCACAGGCAGATCTGTGTTCCAAGTCAGCTAGGGATACAAATTGAGTGTCTAAATTAATAAAAATTTAAAATTACATTTATTTGTGTTTATGTTTGTGGGCACAAGTATGCAGGCACTCACATGGAGATCAGAGGATAACATGAGGAGTGGCTTCTCTCCTACTACGGGGGCTCCAGATACTGAACTGACTGTCAGGGTTGTCACTAAGCACCTCATTCACTGACCCACCTCCACAGGCTCACCCCTGCCCTTCATATAGAGGAATATTACCTTTAGTCTCAAGGAGGTGAGGGCAAAGCACCTGGTGTGTCTCTATCTCCATGAATGTTTAACAGCATCTATGGCTAATGAGGTCTGTGAAGTGGCCAGAGGGTCCAGACAGAGAAGGAAGAGTGTGCAGGAGCGGGTGGGAGACAGCATCAAGGCCACAAGGAAGAGTGAGTACCAGTGAGGGCCACCCCCAAATCAATATTCATTTAGCTTTCTTTTAAAGATCATTACTTTTAATTATGTGTGTGTGTGCCTACTGTGGGTATGTGCAAGTGCCTGCACAATTCCCTCAGCCGGAATCACAGGTGATTCCCTGCTGTGGGTGCTGGGAACTGGACTTGGGCTTTGAAAGAGCAGTATGTGCCCTTAACTCCTGATCCCTCATTTAGCTTTTTTTTTTTTCTTTTTTGGTATTTTTGAGTCAGGATTTCTCTGTATAGCCCTGGAACTTGCTATGTAGACCAGGCTGGCCTTGAACTCAGAGATCTGCCTGACTCTGCCTCCTGAGTGCTGGGATTAAAGGCATATTACATCACCACTTCTCTGTAGCTTTCTTAATAAATATTTCTTCTTACTATGTCCTGGGAGCCATTCTAAGTACTTTAAAAACATTTGTTTGAGGGGGTTAAAGAGATAACTCAGAGAGAAAGAGCACTGGCTGCTATTCCAAAAGATCCGGGTTCAATTTCTAGAACCCACATGGCAGGTCACAATTGTCTGTAACTCAAGATTCAGGGGATCTGACACTCTCATACACATATACATGCAGGTGAAACACCAATGTACATTAAATAAAACTTAAAAATTAAACAGTTCAAGGCTAGCCTGATCTACAAAGTGAATTCCAGGCCAGGCTCCAAAGTTACACAGAGAAGCTCGACTAAAAAACAAACACCATTTATTTGCTTTGGGTGGCACATGTGTGTAAGCTGGGACAACTTGTGGGAGTCAGTCCTCCCTTCTACCATGTGTGTCCTAGAACTCAAGTTCAGGTCATAAGGCGTGGCAGCAAGATCCCTTAGCCACTAAGCCATCTCATTAGTCCTCTAAGCACTTTTTAAATCATTTAATCCTGTTTACACTTTCACTATTAGCCACATTTTACCTGAGGGAACCCAGGATTAGAGACCTTAAATGTTCTGGCAAAGTCACTTAGCTAGTAAAACAGAAACAGAGGATGACCTGAGCCTACAATCTGTGACTCCCTGTGTCATAGTGGAAGCTGTGCATCCAGGGCTGATGAGTCAGGGCAACATCAGCTCATGTGACTATGGTTCTATAGATGAACTCTGACGTGCTAGAAACTACATATTCTTTGTCTCTTCTCCTTCACAGCTGTCACACCCTGCAAGGCTGTATGTTCAGTCCAACATCGGTGCATTAAATATTTCTAGCAGGAGCCATAAACACACACACACACACACACACACACACACACACACACACACACACACACACACACACACACAAACACGCTGCACAAATTCACCAAACCTCATCCCAGACACTTCTCTTGGAAGGTCTGTTGAGAAGGTGAGAAGGTACAGATATTCTCCTAAGACTGTTTTTGACTTTATAATCCCTAAAGGTGGCTGAATATTCAAACACTACACAGGAAAGTAGGCCATTTAATAATAATTAAGACACACTAGTTTTTCTTTATAATAACTACTGTTTATCTGGTTAAAGGTAAATACTGTAAGGATTTAAAATCTGCCTTTATTATTTGTACATCTTTTGGGAGAAAGGTGGGCTACTCATTTTTTCCCCTAATAATTTTCAAGACTGCCAAAGCAATGACAAGTCGCAATGCATGCATAAGCCATTCGGATAGGTAAACATGGTTCCTTACATTACAGACTCCCCACGCAACAGTACACTCTTCGGAAGTAGCAGACGCCTGGTTGGCCTGACATTCAATGCCTGTGGGAACAAGAGCAAAAGCATCACTGGACCTGTGGGCAGCAGCTTCCAATCCAGCCAGCCAGGTCCTACAGTAATAACTGGCCATTAACCATTTTCAATGGATGTGAAGAATGTGGGGAGAGCCATATGGTGGCTCACACCTATAATCCCAGACTTGGGAGGCAGAGGCAGGAGGGTCTCAGTGAGTCTGAGGCCAGCTAAGGCTACTCATTTGTTTCCCTAATAAATTTCAAGATGGGCAAAGCAGGAAAAGTGGTAATGCATTTTTTACAAAGTGTTATTGACGATGGCACCAAAGTGTCTCCCTTCTGAAAAACAAAATGTTTAGGAAAGACTATTTATTCTGGTACAATTATATCGAGCTAGCAGATGATAAGCAGAAACCCCAGAGGCATTACGGCATTACTGGTCTGTCTCTCTCTCACACACATACCTATATATACACTGCATACATTCAAGCTGCCTTGAATTTGCTATGTAGCCAAGGATGAGTTTGAACTCTTAATCTTCCTGGTTCTCCCACTATAGTAGTTTGAATGTAATTGGCCCCCATATGCTTATAGGGTGTGGCACTATTAGGAGGTGTGGCTTTGTTGGAGTGGGTGTGGCCTTGCTGGAGGAAGTGTGTCACTGTGGGATGGGCTTTGAGGTTTCCTATGTCAGGATATCATCCAGTGTCTGAGTCAACTTCCTGTTGTCTGCAAGATGCAGGACTCTGAGCCTCTCCTCCAGCACCACATCTGCCTGCATGCAGCCATGCTCCCTGCCATAATGGACTGCACCTCTGAAACTATAAGTCAGCCACCCCAATTAGATGTTTTCCTAGAAGAGTTGCTGTGGTCATAGCTGGGTGGTGGCGATGCTTGCCTTTAAGCCCAGCACTTGGAAACAGGCACACAGATCTCTGTGAGTTCGAAGCCAGTCTGGTCTACAGAGCCATAGCCATTAAACAGAGAAACTCTATCTTGAGGGAGGAAAAAAAAGAGTTGCTGTGGTCATGGTTATCTCTTCACAGCAACAGAAACCATATCTAAGACAACTCATACAATTACTGGGATTCCAAGTATATACCATCATACTCAGATATGTCACAGGTTTTTGTTTCAGAAGTTCAATATTTTATCTCATGTGACATTTTAAACATAATGAGGGAAGCAGGGACAGGAGGATCATGAATTTGAAGTCAGCCTGTCTATGCACCATTTCAAAAAAAAACCAAAAATCTTAAAAAATAAAAATAAATAAAAATAAACAGGACATTTAACCCCAGAGGCAGGTGGATATGAGTTTAAGCCAGCCTGGTCTATAGAGCAAGTTCCAGGACAGCCAGGCCAGGGCTGTTACTCAGAACAAAAACAAGAGGCTGAAGAGATGGCTTAGTGATTAAGAGCACTGGCCGATCTTCCAGATGTCTTGAGTTCAATTCTCAGAACCCACAAAAAGGCTCACAACATCTGTAGTGGGAAGTGATGTCCTCTTCTGGCAAAGAGGCATACACGCAGATAGAGAACTCATATATATAAAATAAATAAAAAATTAAAAACTCGGGAAGGTGGTGGTGCACAGATCGAGCTCCAGAACAAGCTCCAAAGCCTCAGAGAAACACAAACAAACCAAACAAAAACAAGACACACACCACATTATTAGACAATGTAAGTATCTAGTGAGGAAAAAATACACTAGGGCTCTTTTGTCCTCCCGAGAAGTATGAAGTATGTTCTCTGGAATGTAGAGACTCACAGTGACTTAAATAGAGAAGGTAAGAAGGATGAGCTGGGCGTTGGTGGCTCACATCTTTAATCCCAGCACTCGGGAGGCAGAGTCTGTGAATTCAAGTCTAGCCTGGTCTACAGACAAGAGTTCCAGGACAACCTCCAAAGCAATACAGAGAAACCCTGTCTTGAAAAACACAAAAATCAAAAAAGGATGAGAGTTCAAAGGAAGTAAGACCTTCTCTAGTGCAACTTATGAAAATACAAGGGACAGAGACTGGCATTTACAGAACCAGAGACTCCTCTGGCATTTAAGCTGCCATGTGTCAGTAATGGGTCCTCCCATCTACATTAACCATGGCAACTGCTGATCTGCTTTCACTGTAGCATAAAAAAGAAAAGGCCAAAGTTCAAAGAAACTCAGCCCTCAACAACCACCAGCAAATGGCACAAGTGCTTTCCAACACAAATCTTTTGATTCATGCTTTCCATGTGCTCAGACTGTTACACTATTTGATTTTTGTTATTCATCTAGCAAATATTCAGTGCAAGTTTAATATGTATTAGACAACACACTAGAGCAGTAAATAACATGGTTAAAAAAGACAACCACTTAATTAAATGATAAACATAAAGGGATACTATGGCATATGCTTAGGAATATCTGAGAGAACTGCCAGTACATGTGTAAATGTGAACAAAGTGGGGGATACACACACATATCACACACACACAAAGACACACACAGAGATGATGTTTGGACCAGCAAACACAGAATTTTAGATTATATATGGTTGAATATAAATTTGCTTTATAATATATTCACTTATTTAATGTGTATCGGTGTTTTACCTGCACCAGCGTATACCTGGTCTGTTGGAAGCCAGAAGAGGACTTTGAATATCCTGAGACTGAAGTGATAGACCATTTGGTCGCTGGGAATTAAACCTGGGTCCTCTGGAAAAGCAGCCAGTGCCATCCCTCCAGCCTGTGACTGTAAATCTTGCCCAACAAAACCTAGCTCAGATAAGACTACTGAAGCTCAAACTTTAGCCTTGTAATTCGCCACAATACTCCTGCCATTGCTTCCCAAATGCTGGGATTACAGGCATGCACGGCTCTATCCTACCTTCAAAGGTCATTTTCTTTCATTATTTTTGCCTTTGTGTCTGTGTAAGATGGGAAGTAACAGCAACTCTTCCCACAACTCATTCTACATGGGATCTTGTTGGCTTTACAATGAATATTTTATTCTGAGAGCTGGGGATGCCTCCAAGACATTATTTAAAAAACAAAACAATTTAACTCTTTATTTGAAATGGTTGATAGCAACTTTGGGCAAATTAGTTTTAACTACTTAAGTTAGTAATAAAAATAATTATGAGCCGGGTGTTGGTGGCGCACGCCTTTAGTCCCAGCACTCGGGAGGCAGAGGCAGGTGGATCTCTGTGAGTTTGAGGCCAGCCTGGTCTACAAGAGCTAGTTCCAGGACAGCCTCCTAAACAATACAGAGAAACCCTGTCTCGGAAAAACAAAAACAAAAAGAAACAAAAATATAAGTATGAGGAGCTGAGTGATGATGACTCAGGCATTTAATCCCAGACCTCAGGAGGAAGAGAAAGATGGATCGGAGTTTGAAGCCAGCTGGTCTACAGTACAGTCAAGGTTACACACAGAGAAACTATGTCTCAAAGAACAAAACAATCTATTTCAAACACACCAATGGATGAGATGCACTTGTGCCCAAGGGTTTTGACCCTACTTTGTATTTACTTGTGAAAAAGAAAATTGGTCACATCAGGATGAACCCCATTTCTGTAACCTTTTGCACTTCTCCCCATCCTCCCTGAGTTACTTACAAAGATCCATAATGTGGTTCCTGCAGATGGCACAGTTATCAACCACAATATCCCAGGCCCAGAGGGCTACTGCATTCCACTGCAAAGACAAAGGGGGAAACAATGCGTTTTCCTTGTAATGTACCAGACTCATTAGGATTTCAGGTTTCAACTCCAGCTCCCTGGCCATAGGGTCTATCAAAGAAAGAATGCTTTTGGATTATGCTATTTGGACTACATCAGAGAACAACAGCAAACCACATGTATGCTTCCTCATTCATCCGGAGATGGAGCATATAAACATGGGACACATCAATCTTCTGTAAAATAATTTAGCTAGTCATACCAAGGTAAGCAAATCAGAAATATTTTAAACACCTTTTTTAGATTTAAATAAGTACAAACTTGAGTTATTGTGCAGCTTTCCCTGGCAGGTGTCGAAGGAAGTCTCTGCTCTTCAAGCAGTTTCGGACACACAGGCAAGGTGGTGAACAGAACAGAGTAAGACCATGACTGGATCATAAAGTGGATAATCGTGGGATAAGCTGGCTAGCCAGTCACCTACCTAGTGTCAGTCAGTACTCAGAGCAAGGTCATCATTTGAATCTTACCAGATTAATTCATGGCAAAGTAGAATCCACTACACTTTTCTTTTCCTCTTATCCTGGAAACTGACAGTCTCAACTTTTATATGTCCAAGCTATTAATTCTAGTAAGCAAGTAGTTCAACTGGCTTCTGCAATTATACATACATTCTGCCAGATACCCCTTTCAAGGACTACTTTGATGTGACTTCTCAACTCTTCATCTCTTTCAAATTCAAGTCTCAGAAGTTCAGTAACTTCTACATTACTTTTTATACCACAGCATCAACTGGGGGGGCGGGGGACGGGACGATTACTTCTATTCTTCAACATGGCTGCTGGCTGTAACTGAGCAGCAATGGCCACAATGAGACGCCAGAAAAGGGGGTGGGGTGGAGAGTGTGCTCGGCGACACATTCCAAAAACATGTATGAAAGCATCTCCCCGACTACAAGATCTTCGTTTTTTACAGATTTATGTACTCTCAGGTAGGAACTGACACTTTTCTCTCAAGCCGATGGCAAACTGTGGAGGGAAACAGCATGCAAAAGGACGTGCCACATTTTTGCCTTCCTGCTCCCAAATCATTAACGATTAGTACTTCACTTTCCTAAATGCCACAAGTTCTGGGCTTGCTTTTAAAACAAAGCCCACGAAGCTTCTTAATTGCTGATTTTTTTGTTGTTGTTAGAAGGGTACCCGGACATTACAGAACTATGGGACTGGCAGAGCCTACGAGACAAGCAATAGTCATTTCGGAAGAACCGAGTCCTACACTCGAGACTAGGGATTTAGAGGCTAACGGAGGCCTCCGCATACAATCGAGGACCCAGACCAGGTCTCTCGGGAGTCAATAGACTCAGGGATCCAGGAAGGGGCGGGGCAAGAACACCGCCAGGGCTCCTTAGGGCCTCCTCTGCGGTAGGAGCGCAGGTTCCCGGCTTTCTCCGCACTGCCCCATCCTCCACCCGCCGCAGTCTCTCCAAGAGTCTCCATTCCACCCACCCCACCCTGTCCTTCCCCCACCTCTCAGTCAATTCAGTGACAGCTCAAGCGCTTGGCTCCCGCAACGAAATCGACTCAGAGTCTTTCAGTAAGCCGTTCTGCGATTGGCCCCTCAGCTTCCCCAGCGAATCTAATGTGGCCTCAGCGAGTGGGTCACTATCATGCCGATCAATCCTAAAGCCCGCCCCCCAGCTTCCTCTTCGTGGTACCCGGTCCCAGGAACGCCCTGAAATGAAGCTCTTTCCCCCGCGCCTCGCTCGTCCTGGGGCCTGCCAGCCACATCCACGCCTCTCTAGCTTCCCTGAGGAAGGTGCTGGCGAGACCCAACCTTTTTCACTTCAAAGCGCTTCTTGCCCGCGCCGCTGTTGGTGCCGCTGGGGGTATCCACATCCATCGCTGCCGCCATTTTGGAAACACACTGTCTATCACCGGGCCACTGCGCTTGCGCACCGGCTCACACGTCGCCTCCGGCTCCCCACACCAGGCTCCTCCTCCGGCACCTCTCCCCTTATTGGCGCGCGCGGTGGGAGGGGCGGGGCCTGTTGCTACGCCCCTTAAAGGCGCAGGCGGATGTTCTTCACCCTCAGCCGGGGAGTAGGCTGGAGTGTGGAGGCGGTCCGGGCGGGGCCGGGCGGGGCCGGGCTACGTGATCCAACCGGTGGGAATGTCCGGGAGGTTTCACGATGCTCGCCATCAGGGAAGCCCCTTGACTTGATTCCTTCTTCTGGGGCGGCGTCTGCTCTCCTCTTCCTTGTCCGGACTCACACCTGGTCCATTCTCACAGCGCTGCCCTCCGAGGCTGTGATGGAAGGGGCTTGGGCGGGTCTGCGGAAACCCGAGACTCCACGCGGGCTAGGCGTTGGGACAGTGTCCCGGAGCCCTGCGGCCAGGCTTCCCTGTGCCGAGTTCCCAGTGAGTTTGGGAAATGATTCGATGGGGAGAGAAGAGGCCTGAATGTTCTGCCCTCTAGACCTAACAGACATTCTGCAGCTCCCTCGCCAGAAAGAGATGGATAACGCCTAGGGGCCTCCCCTAACCAGCCAGCCCTAAAGGTCGTCCCTTTCTCCCCGTTTCCTATCGGAATTTGACTACTTGTACTACGGCTAAACTAGTTTTTATCTGTAGTGGCTGAACTTGAATTTGGATGAAGCATTGTGATAATCTTACGGTTCATTTCCATCGAGCTAAACATGTTCTTTACATCATACTTCCACGTTTAGTCCAGGCCTCCATGGTTTTACCTCCTAGACTAGCAGAGGCATGACTGGAATACATCACTTTGAATTTTTTATATTTTTATTTGTCCTATAATCCTAGGACTTGGGAGGAGGAAGTTGTGTTCCAATGCCCACAACAGGACAACAAAAGAGTTATACCTGAAATGTCACATATCCTTTTAAAAGAGATACTTACTGGAGAGTAATGGAGTGTTGCTGATGTCATTACTGAGCAGGGCAATACATCCAGAAACAACACAGCTTTAACTTGCACAAAGAAAATGTGTGGAGAGTCTTGCTGGGTCTGTGTGCGTTTGCCCAAGTTCTGTCTCCCATGTTAAAAACTGTCATTCATTTGTTATGTGTTAACAAATCACCTATGGGATGCTAGAAATCCATAGTTAATTAAGATATTGAGGACATTCTCATTCATTATTCAGCAATATATCTTGAGTATATACCAGGTCTTTTAGATTTTGGTTTATTCTTTTTTTTAAAGATTTATTTACTTATTATGGATACAGTATTCTGCCTGCATGCTAGAAGAGGACACCAGATCTCATCATAGATAAGGTTGTGAGCCCCCATGTGGTTACTGGGAATCGAACTCAGGACCTCTGGTAGAGCAGCTAGTTCTCTTAACCTCTGAGCCATCTCACCAGCTCCAATTTTGGTTTATTCTTATTATTTATTATTATTTTTGAGACAGTCTAACTCTAGCCCAGGCTGGCTTTGATGGTTTTTTTTTTCTTCTTCTTTTTTTGAGACAGGGTTTCTCTGTGTAACTTTGGAACCTGTACTGGAATTAGCTCTTGTAGACCAGGCTGGCCTCGAACTCACAGAGATCTGCCTGCCTCTGCCTCCCAAGTGTTGGGATTCAAGGCATACACCACCACCACCAGGCCAGGCTGGCCTTGAAATCTGAGCAATTCTGTTGCTTCTGCCTCTCAAGTGCTAGAGATAGAAGGGGTGAGCCACCGTGCTCAGCTGTACCAGGTTCTATTTAAACAGGAAAGCCACAGTGATGAAGTCAATTCTTAGTAGGGAAACAAAACACAAATCAACTATAGCAGGAAGTCTCAGGGAGCAATGCATGTTACAGAAGACAAGTTGATGAGACTCAAGGGAGGAGTCGACAATATGTCTTGAGTACTATGCATACATTTTAAGACAGGCATTGAACAATTTGTTATTGTGTGAACATTATATATGGTAATTTCACAAACCTAGATGGGGTAGCCTTTTACACACTGAAGTTACATGGTTAACTTACTACTCCCAGTCTCCAAACCTGCACATATTGTTCCTGTGCTGACTACCATAAGCAAGCTTAACACAATAGTATCCATAGATCTAAACACAGAAAATGTATATTGAAGATATGCTATACAAATGCTGGCTGAAAAAAATGCTGGGCAGTGGTGGCACACGCCTTTAAAGCCAGTACTTGGGAGGCAGAGACATGCAGATCTCATGAATTTGAGGCCAGCCTAGTCTACCAAGTGAGTTCCAGGACAGTCAAGGCTACACAGAGAAATCTTGGGGGAAAAAAGTGCTGGCTGTACTAGAAAGATGGCTCAGCAGTAAAGTGCACTGACTATTCTTCCGGAGGTCTTGGGTTCAATTCCCAGCACCCACATGGCTGCTCACACCTGTCTGTGACTCCAGTTCCAGGGCTTCTGACGCCCTCACACAGACATGCATACAGAACACCAATGCACATTTTAAAAAAATTATAAAATAAAGGAATAAAAAAGTGCTGCTTGTCGATGTGGCTCAGGTGTAGGGCACATAAATCTCTTTATTATGCTCTCAGCACTGTAATAAACAAGAGGGTGTAGAAAATGATGGGTGGGGCTGGAGAGACGGCTCAGTTGCTAAGAGCACTTGCTGCTCTTGCAGAAGACGTGGGTTTGCTTCCCAGCGCCCATGTGATGGCTTACAACTATCTGTAATTTCGGTTCCCAAAGATCCAATGCCCTCTTCTGGCCTCTATGGACACATGGTACACACACATACATGCAGCCAAACATTCATACACATAAAATAAGAACAAGATCTTAGAAGAGAGAAACAAAGGGGGCTGGAAAGATGGCTCAGTAGTTGATAAGTACCTGCTCCTTTAGAGGACTCAGGTTCAATTCCCAGCACCCACATGGCAGCTCATAACTGTCTGTAACTCCAGTTCCAGGGATCCATCCCACCAGGCACACATGTCATGCACTTTGGAGGCAAAGGCAGGAGGATTTCTGTGAGTTCGAGGTCAGCTTGGTCTATAGAGCAAGTTCCAGGACAGTCAGAACTGTTACACAGAGAAACCCGTCTCAAAACACACACACACACACACACACACACACACACACACACACACACACACACACACACACACAAACAAAACACAAAACCCCACACATATAAAATAAATCTTACAGAAAGAAACAAAGTCTAGCAAGATGGCTCAGCAGGTAAAAGCACTTGCCCCCCAAGTTCAACGTCTGACTTCAACCCTCAGGATCCACATGGTGGAAGGAAATTGATTCTAGCACATTGTCCTCTGAGCCCTACATGTGTACTGAGGGGTACGTGTGCCATACATGTTATTCATGCACACACGAGTAACATGGAGGGCTGGAGAAATGGTTCAGTGGCTAAGAGCCCTTTGTACTCTCCGAGTTTGACTACTAACACCCATGCTGGACAGCTCACAACCACCTGTCACTCTAGGTCTAACGGGCCTGACAAACACATGGCATACACATGTACAGTGGCACACATACATACAAATAATAAAAACAGCCAGGTGTGTGGTCCACACTTTTAGTCCCAAGTCCTCAAGAGCCAGAGACTGGTGGGTCTCTCTGAGTTTTTTTATTTATTTCATTATTTATTACATTCCGATCTCAGTTCCCCCCTCTCCTCTTTTCCTGCTTTCCCCTCTTCCTCCCCACCCCACCTCCCATCAGCTCCTCAGAGAGGGTAAGGCCTCCCCTAGGATGTCAGCTAAGTCTGTCCCATCACCTTGTTGAGGCAGGACCAAGTCCACACATCCCCGTCCCCGTCCCTCATGTCTAGGCTGAGCAAGGTGTCTCTCCATAGAGAATAGACTCTACTAAGTCAGGTTATGCATTCGAGTTAGATCTTTGTCCCACTCCCAGTGGCCTCATATACTGCCCAAGGCACACCATTGTCACCTGTATCCAGGGGGCCTAGTTTGGTCCTATGCCATTTCCCCCGTTTCAGTGTGGAGTCAGTGGTCTCTCACTAGTTCTGGTGAGCTGATTCTGTGGGTTTCCCCATCATGGCCTTGACTCTTTGTTTATACTATAGCTCTTCCCTCACTGGGGTTGTAGTAGATAGTAGTAGATCTCTTCATCAGCTTCCATCCATTTCTGGAAGAGGGATCTAGCTTCTCTGGGGTTGTGGATTGTAGGCTGGTTATCCTTTGGTTTATTTCTGGTATTCACTCATGGATGAGTACATTCTTTGTCTTTCTGAGTCTGTGTTACTTCACTAGGATGTTTTTTTTTCTTAATTCTGCCAAGTCTCTATGAATTTAAGGCCAGCCTCTTTTACATAGAGGTCTAGGCCAGCCAGACTACATAGCAAGACTTTGTCTCAAAAAGAAACACACACAAAAAATAGCTCTTTAAATGAATTAAGACACAGAACACATGTGTACAGGACATATATCATGAAAGAAGCCTGCAAGAGGGGAGGTTAGATGAGTAGATGTGCTAATGTGAAGCAGCCACACCACGTGAGTGTTAATCATTCCTGAAATTCTTTTGGTGCTACCATACTGTCTTTTGTTTTGTTAGTGTCTTTTTGAGAAAGAGTCTCAGGTATCCAAGGATGCCTGGAACTCCTTATGTGGCCAAAATGGACCTTGAACTTCTTATCCATGTTCTTATTCATTGTGCTAGGATCAGAGGCATGCACCAATGTGCTCCGTTATGCAGTGTAGGGGTTGGACTCAGGCTTTGTGCATGCCGAACAACCCCCTACCAATGGTGCTATATTGCTATCCCACCGACATCTTCCAAAAGCTCACCCAAATCAAAAGGATCTTTAAAATCCATCCTTTTCAACCTCTTGTCCAAAGTCTGAACCAGAAAAATTCTTGTCAGGAACAAACAAACAATTAAAAAAATCAAATTATTAAAAAAATTATTACTCTTACTTTTAGGTCCTCACCCTAGATATCTTTGTCCAGATTTTTGTCCCCTACTATATATTCACTAGGCCAGAAGCATACTCACTTAGGGGACC